TGCTTGATTCATTCTGCTATTGTGAGGTTGTGATAAATTTTTCAGTTCAGCTAATATATTTCTCAGCTCCAAGGTTTCTATTTGATTTTTAAATTATTTCAATCTCTTTTTAAAATTTGTCTAATACATTTTTGGATTGCTTTTCTGTTACCTTGGAGATCTCTGAATTTCCTCAAAGCCATTAATACTAGTTTGAATTACTGATTACAGAGCTCTCATAGAGCCATCTCATTAGGGTCAGTCACTGGTTCCTTGCCTTATCTATCTGGGGAGGTCATGGTTTCCTGTTGGCTGCAGTTTTTTGTGGATGTGCAAGAAATATATATCTTGTATTGATGTCTTTGAATGAAGGATTAGTTATTTATTCCAATGTTCTCTGTCTAGCTTATTTTTGTTTTTTAATGAATATGTTTGCTTATAGATTCTTTGTAATGTACCTGTTGATTTTTTTTTTTTTTTTTTTAGTGTGAGGCTAAATTGCTGCCTTCTTTTTGGCACTAGATGTCACCTTATGACCAAGTGTGCCTTGGTTCCAGTAAAAAATCAGAGAGCGGCTCATCCCAAATAGGGAATTTCTCAAAGGGGATATCAGGGCAATGTGGGAAAAGTGGCTAGGGATTCATGCCCAGGGGACTTGTGCAACATATCTTTTGCAACGTGTGCTACTAAACAGTGACTCTGGTTTGGCATCTCCTTTAGCTGAGTTACAGACCAGAGTTTCCAGGGCTGGGGATGGTAGTCCCACCTCACCTGTTGTCTCTGACTGTTCTCAGGATATTTCTTTCTTCAGGCACATGTAGTGCTTCCTGTGGGTTGAGGTAGGGACAGGTGTCCTGCCAGGGAACACAGATGGTGGGAAACCTAGTTTTCCACTTTAATGCTGTCACTTTTTCTAGTATAGAAATCATGAGTCAGGTGGAGATTTTTTGCACACTTGGTGCTGGGCAAGTTGGATGGATAGGCATCGTAGATGTGGAAACCCAATTCTCTTACTGTCTACTTAAGAATATTTTTCTCCATCCCTGTGGACCCAGGTGTCTTCTCCTTGTATTTGATTTCTGGGATATTGTTGGTGATACTTTCAGTGCTGTATATTTGGTTTTGGTTTTCTTTGTAAAAATGTGAAGCCAGCTTGCTTCTACACTATTATTTTGGAACAAGAAGTCCTCTGTTGGCTTTTTAAGCTAATTCCCTTTAAGAAAATTATTTTATCTTTGAATTAATTATTTTTATGTAAATTACAAGTAAGTCTTAATGGTTCCTTTGCTTTGTTAACCAGTACATCTTTGCAAATAACACAAGTGTAGTTTTAGAGCTTCACAATCAATAATGACTACAAAACTCAATATATGAGGAATCATGACTCCAAGTGAAAATGATATAACTCTTGGTCTTCATTCATTTGCAGTCACTTCCATTTTCATTATTTCATTAACCACTATAGCCACATTCAGAAAGCTGTGTCTTAACTAAATAGTCCAGTGATGCCAATTTTATAGGCAGTAAATTGTTTAAAAATTAATAATTTAAATGTGTTTCCATAATTTGCCTAATCTTAAATTACAGTTTAAAAAAATGCTTTTAAAGAAGTAACAGTTTTTAATTCTGATGAGATTGTATTTTATTCGTTTTTCTTTTTATGGATCATGCTTTTGATGTCAAGTCTAACAGCTCATCACTTAGCTGAGGGCCTGAATAATTTTTCATGTTCTTTTATGAGAATTCTATAATTTCATATTTGATGTTTAAGTTCATAGTCCATTTTGAGCTAGTAAATTATGAAATTTATGTGAAGATTCATTTTTTGGCCTATTGATGGCCAGTTGTTTCAATATCATTTATTGAAAATTCTGTTTCCTTCCATCGAATTATTATTGTACCTTTAGCCAAAAATCATTGGGCATATTTGTATGGGCCTGTTTCTGGTTCTGTATTCTATCCTATCGATAAATATGTCTGTCCTTCTGCTGATACCTTACTGTGGTGATATAGTAAACTTTAACATCAGATAGAATGATTCCTCCAACTTTATTCTTTTTTTTTCAAAATTGTTTGAGCTATCCTAGGGTCTGTGCCTTCCCTAATAATTTTAGAATTAGTTTGGCTACATCTGTAAAAAACTTGCTGGGATTTGGATGGAAATTGCTTTAAATCTGTAGATAAGTTGGAGAGAACTTATACATTTTTACTGTATTGAATCTTCCAATCCATGAACATGGTAAGTATCTCTATTTATTTAGGTCTTTGAATTCTTTCATCAGCATTTTGTCATTTTCAATGTATAGATCTTGTATATGTTTTGTTAAATTTATTGTATTTCATTTTCTTTGGAGCAATTGTAAATGGTATTGTGTTTTTACTTTGTTTCCACATATTCATTGCTAGTATGTACAAATTCAGTTGATTTTTGTTTGTTGATCTTGTACCCTGTGACCTTGTTGAACTCACTTATTAGTTCTTAGAGGTTTTGTAGGGTTTTTTTTTTTTTTTTTTAGATTCTTCGGTATTATCCTATATAAACAGTCATGAAATTTGCATATAGATTTTTCACTTTCTTTTTGGTATGTATACATCTTATTTTTCTGGTCTTATTGCTGTACTAAAATGTCAAGTGCTATGTTGAATAAGAGTGGTGAGAAAAGGCATTGTTGCCATCACTGATCTTAGAGGGAAAGCAAACTAAAATCTTATTTTCTGTGAAAAACCCTATGAAGAAAATGAAAAACAACAAAACAAGCTAGAGAGAAGCTATATGCAGGGCACATACCCAACAAAGGCCTTGGATCTAGAATTTATAAGGAACCCTCAAAAATCAACAGTTAAAAAAAAAGAAAAACAGAAATAGGTAAAAGACATGAACAGACAATTCACCAAAGAGAATATACAGATGACAAGCACATAAGAAGATGTTCATTTGCCTTTGGGGAACTGCTCATTAAAACCTGGATGAGTAGCATTACACACCTATCTGAAAGGCTTACATAAAAATTGTGACAGCACCCCATGCTGATAAAAATTTCGAGAAATGCTGGTGAGGATTTGGAGAATTACATGAAGATTTGGAGAAACTGAATTGCTCATACATTACTTATACTCATACACTGGGAATGTAGACTGGTACAGCCACTGTGGAAAACAATTTATCAGTTTCTTGAATAAAAAAAAAAAGTTTCCATATTACCTAGCAATAGCACTTTTGGGGCATTTATACCAGAGAAATCAAAATTTATGTTCACACAGAAACCTGTATGTAAATGTTCATAGCAGATTATATTCACAGTGGCCAAAAACTGGAACAACCCAGATGTCCTTCAACAAATTGATGGTTAAATAAACTGGCACACATCCACATCTTGGAATATCGTTTAGCAATAAAAAAAGCAAATTATTGTTACACCAACAACTTGGATAGATCTCCAAGTTATTCTGGGTGGGAAAAAAGTTAATCACAAAAGGTTAGATACTGTGTAATTTTATTCATAAAATGAATTTTTGCTGTTTCTTCTCAAAATAGCAAAAGTATAGAGAAGAAGAACTGATTACTGTTTGCCAACGGTTAGAGATTGGGGTGGGTGAGTGTGACTTTATAGGAATAGCACGAGGAAGTCGTGGTGGAACAGCTCTGTATCTGGACTATGGTTATAGTTACATGAATCTTCACATGTGATACAGTTGCATGGAGCTGTGCACACGCGTGTGCACACACTCACACACTCACAGCTGAATGTAAAACTGGTGAAATCTGAATTAAGCTTTGTGGATTGTCCCAATGTTGGTTTCCAGGTTTTGATATTATGTATGTTTAAACAAGATGACATCATGAGAGGCAAACTGGGTGAAAGATACACAGGGCCACCCTGTACAACTTCCTGTATATCTATAATATAAAATAAAATGTTTTTATTATAGGCGTGGTGGCTCATGCCTATAATCCCAACACTTTAGGAGGCCAAGGCTGAGGATCACCTTTGGCCAGGAGTTTGAGACCAGCCTGGGCAACATAGTGAGACCCCCATCTCTACAAAAACAAAAATAAAAAAGTTAGCTGTGCATGGTGGCACGTATCTATAGTTCTTGCTACTCCAAAGGGTTGAGGAGGGAGGATTGGAGTTTGATATTGCAGGGAGATACGATGGCATTACTGCAGTCTAGCAGCCGAGACAACAGAGCAAGACCCTGTCTTTAAAAAACAACAAAGTTTTTTTAAAAAGGCTTAAAAATTTTAGGTATAAAAATGATGTAAAAAGTTATGAAAATAAAGGAATGCTTATTTTTTTCTGTTTTTATGTGCTTTGGAGTTACAGTTGACAAAACTTACATGTGTCCACAATGTCTTGCTGAAATGACTCATACTCAGCTTATACCACACGTGACTCTCCAAGCAAGTTCAGCAACACCTGAGCTGGTTTATATCCCGTTCAGCTGAGCACACTTCTCAGCACTCTGACAGTATCAAATAATTGCCGTAAGAGTTTCTGAGCACTTACTCCCAGTTTCTCAACTCATTGTGGACCAGCAACAGACCTCTGTAGGCCTGCACCAACTCAATGACCACACCCAGCTGTACTGGGACAGTGCAGAATCTAGTGTTGGGCTGAGTGTTGCTCCTGGTCTCCGTGTGAGCCGACAGAGCTCGGTTCTTTATATGAGAAACCGATATGCTTTTGTTGGGGCCACAAAGTCTTCTGTGCCTTTCCAGAATTACAGTGCTGCTTTAAGTTCTGCCTTTGGATAACAAACAGGGACACACAAGGGCAAATTTGTTACTTCTTTTGGAGAGCATTTCTTATTATCAGCGATTGCTTCTTGCTTTCTCCGGGAAACCTATTAAAACAAGTCTTCCTTATCTATTGGACTAGGTTAAAAATAGTACATTTTCTTGTGACTGAAAATGAGATCTTTCTGGTTAAATCTTGACATCGCTTTTACTCTTTTGGCAATCTATGGGTTTGTTTTTCCCCCTATGTGGATCATACAAAATTGCTGTCATCTTCTTACAGTTCAACATCATGGATATAGTGGCCCAAATGAGAGAACAACGTTCTGGCATGGTTCAAACGAGGGTAAGCTTTCACCCCATACATTATAATAATGAATATAAAGATTGACATTGCATAACACTTTACTGCTTATAAACCTCTTTTTTGACATAATCTCGTTGAGTTCCTACTGTTTGAGGTAAACATTCATTTTGCTCTGGTGCTCTGTTATTCCTGACCAAGTACTTCAAATTCAGAGCAAGGAAGGTGCCCTATGGGGTCACTCAGATAGAAGAGGGGGAGTCAAGCCTGAAGCTGAGGTCTGCTGATGTCCAAACACATGCCTTGTCCATAATGCCGTGCTAGTTCAGTAACATCTAAAGTTATTTTTAAAACATTTCTAGATAGCACTTTTAGATATTTACTTGCCACTATACTGTCAAGGTTATTGGGATGTGATAAAAATACATCATTTATGTCACAGACTAGTTAGTAATCATTGGGAGAGCAGATTAATAGAGTATAGATAATAATAAAAAACAGTTGTGGTAAGCCTTCAGGTAACTAGTTCTAGGCTCAGAACTATATTATGATCATTTATCTTCCTCATAGTTTTAAAAATGTATTCGCATAAAGATCTTAAGAGCTTATAGTTAAATGTTTGCTCTTTTTAGGAATTTTCCTGTGTGGTTGAAAATTACAAATGTGTTTTCTGAAAATGCATGCTGATAATTTGATTACTTAACATTCTATTGTTTTTCATATATACGTATATAGGAGCAGTATCACTTTTGTTACAGCATTGTGCTTGAAGTTCTTCGGAAACTTCTGACTTTGGATTAAGAAAAACTTCTGTTGCCTCTCATTTGAAATTACCAAGTGGCATGGCTTCGAGCCTCCTCATGAAGAATACATTCGCACTGTGCTGAAGGGCTTTGCTATGCATACAGTCTGCTTTCTTGGTTTGTCAATTTGTTTTCTTTCTAAAAAATCCCTGAAGGGCAACATCGTTTGGCTTGGAGTGAACAGTGTTTACTCACTGATCTTGCTAGACGGATAAAAATATCTTCCCACGTTTTCCAGTGAAACAGATGTTACATAAAATAATGGCAGCTTGGCTGTTTGGTTGAAGGGATTACAGAGCCCAATAAAGGATTTAAACTATATTCATTAAGATTTTATTTGGAAGGGTGGCTGGAGAGAGCTGAGAATTTCCAAGACTTTATAAGCCCTTGTTCTGGGAGAAAATAAGGCCAATAAACTACAGGATCACATCATGACCTCTTCCAGGCGTTTTTAAGACAGATATCTATTCATGTTCTTTAGCTGGAGTCTGTACTTCTAGCTGGCATTTGAATAACCCAATTTAAAAAGAGTCCAGTTAGGGTGGACTGACTTTGGACACAAATTGGCTTCCATTTCCTACATTTTCACGCTGCTGCCCTCCTACAGCAGCTAGACCAGGACCTGTTGGTCTGGGAAGCATTTCATAGATGGGCAGAGCTCCTTTTGGTGAATAGTCCAAAACTAAAATAGATGTTTATATAGAAAGTCCAAGAGGAAATTTTTGCCAGGCCTGAGTTCTTTCCTATCCCACCCTAACACTTAACGTATTACTCAGTCTGCTTTGTTAAAAAGCAAGTATTATATTTAACTTGCCTCTTACTCTTTGCCCTTTAGCTAACTAATAAAGTTTGATATAGGCATTATTATATAATTCTGAGTCATTCATGGTATCTCTCATGCCTGATGTATTTTTCAATCTCAGATCTGTGGTAGTTTTTTCTCCAGAGTTCCATTAAATCATTTATTTCCATTACTATCTCACCTCTGCTGAAACATTTAGAAACTAGATTTGGGAACCAGATTTTGGAAAACCAGATTCATAGTCATGAAAATGGAAACTTCCATATTCTGTTTTTGAAAAGATTGTGGCCATTATTTCATTAATGTTCTCATACAATTAATAGTGATATTTTGTACAAGGAGTTTTGGTGACCAGTTATACCCAATTATAAGCTATAAAACAATTGATATTTGTGTTTTACAGCTTAACTTTGAAGATCAGACTGTTCTATGTATTGAGAAACTGTTTAATATTAATCTATGAATCTTGAATTTCTAAGAGGCTTGTTTTGTTCTTTTGGCTGAATGAGTATATTTGAATTGGTTGAATAATTGATAATTCTCATTTAAAAAATAATTATATGCCAGAAATATATTTGATATGAAATCAAATAGATGATTCTGTTTACATTGTTCATATAAATAATAGTCTGTTAAACATTAATTTCATTTTGATAATTGGCCTTTAATATTCGTATCTAATTTTATTTTCTCTCTGTTACTGTAAAATAATAGATATAATGTATAACAGTTTTCTTGAGAAGAATTCTGTGCTATTATTTAAATAAAATGTTTACTATGTATTGCCTGAAGTATTTTTATTTATCTGGGCCTTGAAATAGTCTTGTAAAGAAAAATCCCACAATGCTTGATATTAAAGATGTCTCTTCTTTAATGTCTGCCTCATATTTTTACAGCTGGACTAATTTTCAGTTTTCCAGGGAAATTAAAGGAGTGACTATGGAAATACTAACTGCATTTGTTTTCACTTCATTCTTGGAAGGTGAATGCCAAACTGAAAACTTTTGACTAATAGAAATAATTTTATATCAATAATGAATCAGTTTCTGCCTGTGATATGAATACAAAACTCTGATCAACACCTTTGTGAGTATGTGAATGCTAAATGAAGTTTTAAAGTACTTTTAAACATGCCCAGATAATGTTTACATCTAATGAACAGTAAATGTATGAAAAGAGCCAAGATGTTTTTGAGAAAGAAAAATTAACTGGAGGAAAGAGAAATTTAAATGTAAGCATAGTTACATTTATTAACTTTCAATTTTAAATACATATTTTTAAAGTATGTCCTTGAGGCTTATATGTTAGACCAAAGCTTTTCAGAAATAAACATTGTATATTTTTTTCTTTAATTGGAGTTAGTAATTTATTTTTCTTTGGACTTTTTACCCCAATCTCCCTAGAACATTATTGAATTTTCAGCTAAGTTTACCATTATTACTCAAAAGTTATTTTAGTGATTTATTTTTATTGAGAAAAACCTCAAAGGAAAACACCTTTAAAAATTCTAAAGCCAAAAACTTTTATTTTCTACTTATTTTTTTCTAATTCCTGGGAAGAATTCATTTTCTTCTATGTTGTCTTGAGGTTCATATAATTGAAGAAGAAGATTCAGAAGATCTCTATTTAAAGTGAAATCAAATCATTAATATTCAATGGGGGTGATGGATTGCATACTGGAACACTCATTTGTCTATAGCCATAATCAAAAAACATTACCTTATCATTAAACAACTGGAATTAGAAGGGATCTTAAAAGATTGAATACAACCATGGTATCTGAAACTTGAATGTGACAAAGAACATTTTTTAGAAACCAACAGCAACATCGAATTTGTAGGTGAAAAAATAGAGCCCTTCTATTAACAAAACAATACCTCCTATTAGCACGGTAGCTGAGTATTGCTCCAGAGGTATCTAGCCAATGCAGTAAGACTACAAAAGTGGAATAATTGCTGTAAAAATTGGAAAGCTAGGACAAAATTATCTTTTGTTTGTATGTTGTCTACATAGAAACAATAGACTCAACTCCAAAATAGTATTAGCACATTTATTATGAAGTTAAGATACAAGATAACTATGTAAAAGTTAATCTTTCTCTATATTATCTGTCTCTTCATTTATAGCCAGCAAACTATGGCCCACAGGCCATATCTGACTTATTCCTTTTTTTGTAAATAAAGTTTTATGCCTATTTGTTTACATATTGTCTATGGCTGCTTTTGTATTATGGCAATGGCTGAGTGATAGTATCAGCAGAGATCACATGGCTTATAAAGCCTACAATCTTTACCACCTGGCCCTTTAAAGAAAATGTTTGCCAACCCCTGTACTATATCTTCAAAAGGAAAAATATCTCTGCACAACAGGCATTTATAAAATATATATTTTATAAAAGATATGAAATACTTAAGATTAAACTTAACAAAAACGTTAAGTAAGAGATGATGTTTACATTCTAAATGAACGGTAAATGTATGAAAAGAGCCAAGATATTTTTGAGAAAGAAAAATTAACTGGAGGAAAGGAAAAGGGTTTGCTGTAGCAATAGTCAAAGTATTATCTAAAGTCACAGTAATTAAAACAATGTGATTCTGGTACATGGATATATAGATAGATAAATGGAACAAAGTAGGGTTGAGCATTAGAGACCCCTTTATATTTGTGAATCTATTATATGCTAAAGATAGCATTTCAAATACAGAGCTTCAGATACATGAAACAAAAACTGGTAAATCAGATAAAACTGGAAAAATATGCAAATCCATAATTAGAGTTTGAGATTTCAGCATTTGTCTCTAAGTAATTGATAGAACAAGTAAATGAAAAATAAGTAAAGATATAAAAGATTTGAATAACCCTACCAACCTGCTTGACATAACTGATACTTATAGAACACTAAACTACAGCAGAATACACATTCTTTTCACGTGGACATAGAACATTCACCAAAAGAGACTATATTTTGGGCCATTAGTTTCACTCTATTTCAGAAGAAGGGAACTATGTAAAATATACTTATGGAATTAACTAGAAATCAATAAAGATATTTTTTAAATCCCAAAATATTTGGAAATTAAACAGCATACTTCTAAATAACTCATGAGTCAAGGAAAAAATTAGAAGTTACAAAATATTTGGAATGGAATGAAAATGAAAATGCAACAAAATGTGTGAGATGCAGGGAAAAAATTTGGGGAGAAAGTCATGCACTTGTTTGGTTCATACTGAATTTGTTATACCTATGCAGTCTCTACAAGTTTCATGTTAAAAAAGGTTCCTGAGCTGAAAACCCAGATCTAGAGGAATGCTTGCCTTTAAAGTGATGTTTGAGGGAATGGATGGGAATGGATGAGCTGGGGAACTTCAACATTCACTTCCACCCTGATTGCCTTCCAGGGCCTCTCTTCCACGAAGCCTTGTAACACATCTCTCCCTCCTCTGATTTCTTCAGCAATGCTTCTCAAACTCTGGTGAAGGGCCAGTTTTATTTACCAACTGATGGGCCTGAACCCAACCAAAAGATCCAACAGGTATTTACTAGGATGTGTGGTGGCGCTAAGCTAAGGATGGCATCTGAAACTGGATGGGCATTGCTCACTTTCAAAGTGGAAAAGTGTGAGGAGCACATGGTAGGGCCTCAAGTGGTTAGAGCAGTGGAGCTCTTATCTGCTCTAAAAGGTGACCAGCCAAGGCCCCTTTCCAGAACAGAGTCACACTGAGCAGAATCCTTAGAATCAAAATTGAGCAGAATGAAGAGAATGGGGTGAAGAAAAGAGGTCATATAAAAGTGGGTGAGGAGTATAGAGCCAGAAAATCTCAGAAAGCAAGCTGAGTGAAGTTATAAGAGCTGTCTGTCCAAGGCAAGGTTAGTTCAGGAAAACCAAATTCACATGGAAACAAGCAGTAGAACGGCTTATGATCAAATCCCATATAAGTTACCTTAAAAAAAAAGAAAAACCAAGGAGCTGAATAGCATCCCCTACAAACAATGAAGGTACACTAGAAGGATATACTGAAAACACAGTTCTCAATGGCAAGCAGCTCGGGAAGAAAACGATACCCTACTATTTCAAAATGAGCTTAAAGACAGCAGGAAAATTGAATAAAACATGATGGAACAACAAAAATCAGAACTAGACAAATTTAAAGCAGTATGACAAATCAAGAAAGAAACAAAAATGAGAATAAAACAATAAACTAGAAGGAACACAACAAATTTGATAACTGATGCTTTACAAGAAATAGAAAGCTTAAGAGGAATAATTTCAAAACAAAATGTAGAAAGAAAACAAGACTTAAGAGCGTAAACAACTCAATGATAGGTAAAGAAGACTAGTAGATAGTAGAAAGTTTAAAGGAAAAAACCAAAGCAAGTGTTCAGAACAAGTTCACTAATTCAAGAAATATTTAGAATAATAACTAAAGAAAATATTCCTGAAATAATTGTTTTTAAAATTATATGTGGAAATACCTTAGTACATATCTGAAACCATCAAATGAGTATGACCAATACCAAGGTTTAATAAATTTGTTAATAAATAATTTATTAAAAAAATAAAGTTTTTAGTAAAATTGCCGTATTTTGAAGAAAAAAAATGGGAGGGGGAATTTATGCAAAAGAATATGAGGAAAATAAAATTAGATTATTTTCCGATTTTTAAGAGTAGGGCTTTAGTACAAAAGAACAAAAGAAGATGAGATAATATAGTTAAGAGTTAATAACTTAATAATATAGTTAAGGTTTAATAAGTCCAAGGAAAGATTTTTATGAGCCAAATATTTTATATCTAGAAAAACTGACCTTGATGCACAGGGTGCAAATTGAAATTAACATGCAAGAGCTCAGAAAATACTGTTCCCAAGAGCCATTCTTCAATGGATGCAGAAAAAAATTCTGATCAAATTTGACATCTGCTCTATATTTTAAAAAAGTAAACTTGAAATAAAAGGGAATTACCTTAATCTGCTAGGGGATATCTACAGCAAACTAACAACAGAAGTATATTTTATGGTAAAACATTTTTTCTTTCCTACAAGTCAAGTACTGTCTTGGACTGTTCTAAAGAATGAATTGGGCCGGGTGTGGTGGCTCACACCTGTAATCCCAGCACTTTGGGAGGCCGAGATGGGCGGATTATCTGAGGTCAGGAGTTCGAGATCAACATGGAGAAACCCTGTCTCTACTAGAAACACAAAATTCGCCGGGCATGGTGGCGCATGCCTGTAATCCCAGCTACTTGGGAGGCTGAGGCAGGAGAATCCCTTGAACCAGGAGGTAAACGGAGGTTTCAGTGAGCATCTCAGATCACGCCATTACACTCCAGCCTCGGCAGCAACAAGAGTGAAACTCCATCTCAAAAAAAAAAAAAAAAAAGAATGGATTGGAGTGCAACTGGGAAGCTGAGTCCACCATATAGCCTAGCTTAGAGACCATAACCCCAGGAAAACAAGTAAACATCCCTTTATGGAAAAGAACATATCTTCTTCACTGGTAACAATGCCCGAATTCTTTTTCAGATATGGTGAGGGAGTGGATTTGGTTAATTATACTCCACAGAGCACATTTAAAATTCTCTGTTAAGCCTTTCTCCTCAGGATCACCACTGAGATGTTAGTGATTAGAACCATCTCTCCTATAAATCATTTGTATAGAAGGCACTTGACGGACCAAACCGAAATGTGTATGTCGACAGCATTTCATTTGCCAAGAAAATACACCTCCAGCAGAGCATAGGACTTTATGGGTGCCGAAAGGCTTATTTACCAGGAATTCTGCCTGCATGA